AGCCTCCCATTAGTTCGAATTAAGGGGCTACACACCCCTTAATTCGAACTAATAAGTTCGAACTAGGCTTAGTCCTCGTGCAATGAGGTTTACCTAGTTCGAACTAAGCGCTCCGCTAGTTCGAATTAAGTTCGAACTAGCGGAGCGCTAGTGTAGCGCCTATCAAAGTTAATTCGAACTAACATTCGTTAGTTCGAATTAACTTTGTAGTGTAGACATACCCTAACAGATTAATTTAGGACATAAGCATTCGTGAGTAAAACCTACTTCATCAGATGAATAAGAGTGGAAATTACTGATGCATGAATATATATATCAGGCCCATACGCAGGGGTGGTACAAAGGGTGCGAACGCACTCCCCCATGGTCCTCCAAGTAAGTGAAGCTGCGGCAGCGTGTTGCCACAGCCTCTCTGTCCCCTTTTTTCCCCCCTCCTGGTGCTCCAGCTGGCTGGGGAAAGGGCTGTGGGGGCAGGGCAGCCACCAGCCCCTGCCATGTCTTACATGGGAGGGTCTAAATTCCTATAGGCCTGTATAAATGAGACAAAAGAAAGAGGTTACTTATCAAGTATAGGACCGGCGTAAATGAGGCTAATCAGGTCAGGATGGGTGTGGCTCATTCACAGCAGCTGATGGGGACATTTGAATATTGAGAGGGGAAATTGCCTTTGCCTCTTTATTCAAGCTGCAGTTGTCTGGTTTCCCTCCGCGATACAGGGTACTGTCAAAGACTTGCTCTTGGATAGCCCCAGGTTGTTTTCTGGGTCCGTGAATGACTAGCTTCACAACTTGAAGGATTTGAGGGCCAGGCTTGTGTATCCTGGGATCTGTACACCTACAAACAAAAGAAAACATAGCAGGGCTCAGTCAGCCCTGACTTCTCATCCAATTCACTACTCTAGTTTCCATAGGCCCTCTGAACTGCCTGCCAAGAGATCTAGGTACTCAAGAGAGAAGGCAACAATGGCCGCAGCTATCTCGTCTCTGCCAATCATTTCCAAATTCCAGTTTTGATGGGTTCAGTGACAGTCCACACTGTCCATTCCACATGGATCTACACAGCTACGCTATCCATCTCCTTTTGCCCTTTGGATACCATCTTTCTCATTTCCAACCTAAACGGGAGAGAGTAACAACTGACAAGTGGATTATGAAGATTATAGGTGCTGGGTATTCCATCCATTTCATCTTCCCCATCTCTTTTCTCTGAGATCCACGGAACTTCTGCCATCAACAGACAAGGATCCATTGACAAGGCATCTGTTGGCACTCAGGACACTGCACACGGGTAGGAGATGTCTTAAAGGAACTCAGACACATGCCAAAGAGAAATGTCCAAATGATCTTTTTTGAGTTCCTTCCTGTCTCACAAGTTAAGGAAGAGAGATGTCAGAAGGTTCTGGAAACAACTGCCAGCAAAAAACAAAATGAATCAAGGAACCAAAGGAGACAAAGAAAAGCAATTATTGAATTGCCTCAACACCAGTGCTAGGTGGCTGGGGGACGGGAGGAATTGGAATTGCTCATTATGTGCATTGATTCAATTTGAGTTAGTTGGTGTTACTTGAACATGGTGGAATGATTCCCATGATTGGAATGTGAAATCAATGGTTTTACCTATTTGAGAAGGATTGAGTGGTCATCGCCTCTTGCCAAGTCATGGACAACTCAAAAAAAAAGGTCTCAAATGCTTATGGATTAATGTCCTAATGCATAAAGCACAAGAATGGGCAGGGTAATTAGCTGGTGTCTGCTCCAGCCACCAGATCACACAGGGAAAACAGTTGGCCACCTCTGTATGCACTTACCTCTAATATGTGCGGAAAAAAACCCTGTGTGATAATGGAGGACATCAGATTGACACATACTGGAAGTTTTATGTTGTGAGTAGTCAAAACTTCCTTGGAATTTATAAATATTAAAGAGGACAAGTTCCTAACTTACCAAGTATTGCAGCCAACATGGAGTGATTGAATATTAACTCTTGACCTGAATGATAAAGAACTGAGGAACTGAAAATTAATGGTAGTGTAGGTGTAAGTGATCATAATTTGATCACATTTATAATATGCAAACAGAGTAAAGCCTGGACCAGTAATATATATATTTGGTGCTTTAGGAGACCAGCTTCACAAAGCCAAAAACAATTATGAGCCAGATCAGCTGGGAGGAAGTTCATCATGAGAATGTAAATGTTAATTGGGAATCATTTAAGAAGAGGCCCCAAAAGCCAATCTCATTTAGAGAGGAAGTAAAGGCATCGATATATAGATTCCAAATGGAAAAACAGAAATTAATAGTAATGAATATATCAAAAGTTGGAAATTGTAGAAAATTGATAAGAAAAGCTACAGAACACAAGGTGAAATGTATGGTCAGGGAAGTTAAAGACAATAAAAAGGCGTTTGAATATATTAGGAATAAAAAGGTTCCTGACAAAGGCATTGGTCCATTAGTAGATTGAAATGGTAGACTTATCAGAATTAATGCAGAAAAGGCAGAAATAAATATTCAAGAAATACTTCTGTTCTGTATTTGAAGAAAAAACATGTTATAACATGTTTGATGAGATTATAATCTCATCAAAAGGTGATGATATTCTTTCCGTTTCACTAGTGTCTCTGGATAATGTTATACAGAAGCTATTAAGTCAAACATTTTAAAATTGTTGGGTCCAAAGAGTTTGCATCCAAGAGTTTTAAAAGAGCTGGCTGAGCAGCTCACTGGCCTATTAATGTGTTTATATTCAATCAGTCTTGGAGTGCTGAGGAAGTTCCAGAAGATTAGAAGAAAGCTACTGTGCTACTTTTTTTAAAAAAAGGTAAATGGAATGATTTGGATAATTACAGGCCTGTCAGCCTTACGTCGATCCCAGGCAAGAAGATGGATTGGCTAATATGGAACTGGATTAAAAAAGAATTAAAGAAGAGTAGCATAATTAATGCTAATCAAGATAGAAAATAGGTCCTGTCAAGCAAACTTGATATTTCTTGAGATGACAGGTTTGGTTGATAGACATAATAGTGCTAACACTTAGACTTCGAAAAGGCGTTGGTAGTGCAGGCTGTTTATTACAACACTAGAACAATATCCAATGACCAGGGCACCCATTAAAAGAGTTATCAAAATGAACTTGTAAATGGGGAAGTGTTACCCAGCAGGTGTTTCTTATGGAGTCCCGCAGAGGTTGCCTTTTGGCCGTAGGCTATTGAACATTCTTATGAACAGCCTGGAAGGAAACATCAATTCATCCTGGTTCTAGTCTACAGAGGAGATGCAAATTGGGGGTGTGGGATGGGTCACAGCTACAAAGTGATCTGGGTCACTGGGCACAAGCTTTGGAGCAAGCCGTGTGTAACGGCAGACATCATGTTGCAAAGCACAGAGGGAAGCAGGGCCTCTAAAATCACTGTGGGAGTCGTGGTGCAGCACTGCAGAAAGGCACCAATGGATCCAGCTTAAAAGACGCAGAGGGCAGTAACCATGATGCTTTGAACTTTTCCTCCTCTAAAGGTGCTCCCCTGCCCACCCTCTCTCCCTCTGCACCAGGAGTCTTTGTTGAGGGCAGCTCATCTGTGCAGCCCTACATAGCCTCATAGGGGGTGCGAGGGCTGAGCATGCACCATTACCATAAATCTCCATTCACAGGCATTTGCCCTGAAGGACAGTACCTGATTGGAAGGACACATTTTGAAAGGCCCAAGTGGGCAATCTCTGCCTCTGCTAGCAGAGCCTGGCCCTCTCCCTCCTAAAAAAGGGGTAGGGCCATGTGGAGGTGTGGGCACACCGGAGGGCTGCAGTGCTGCCCTCTTTCACTCACCTTGCAGTGTAATGAAGGGCTGATGGGATGAACGGGGACAGCTGGGGCCAAGGAACGAATGCATGGGAGGGCACATAAAAGGGAATGCTGGAGGTACTCAGGGGGACCAAACAGTGCCAAAATCTGAGTCTCCTTCTGCCCCCACAGGCTGTCAGTGCTCGACACCTACTACATCCCCAAAGACGGAAACCTGGCCTCCTACCGGGAGTACATCAGCCTGCTGCCTAGCATGGACCTGCCCGAGGCCTTCGGCCAGCATCCCAATGCTGATGTGGCCTCCCAGATCACCGAGGCCAGGACACTCTTTGAGACCCTGCTGTCCCTGCAGCCCCAGATCACTCCCAGCGGGGCTGCCGGGCAGAGCCGCGAGGACAAGGTACCCGGCAGTAGGAACAAGGTAGCCATAGAAAGCCTGTGCTCCAGAAAGGTTCCTGGGCATTGAGTGCAGTCCACGGGATGGGCCTTGAGGAAGACTACCAGGGTACCTACTATCATAGGTCTGCCCTGTGGGGAAGGCTACCTGGGCAGTGAGGCCTGGACGTGAGCCAAGGCACCGCCATCAGCTTTTCAGGCTGCCTATCAGACTCAGCTGCCAGTGGTTCTGGGGCTTCATCCCATCGGGACCCCCCCAGGGCTGCAGTCACCCACTTGTGGCTCACACATCCCCTGCCTGGCAGGTTCTGGAGCTGTCCTCCGACGTGCTGAGCAAGATCCCACAGGAGCTGGACTACAGCGGCACCCAGAAAGTGCTGGCCGATGACCCCTCGCCCCTCAATGTGGTGTTGCTGCAGGAGATCCAGCGTTACAATGCCCTGCTGCAGGTCATCAGGTTGGCCCCACACGCCAGGCCTGTGGCAATGAGGCTCAAGCCTGGCTCACATGGTGGGACAGGCCCCAGTCCAGCATAGCTATTACCCCCTCCACCAGCCTGGGAGCACCTGGAAGAAGGCACCAATCTCGGGAGGGGGGGTCTGGGCAGCACCCAATGTGACAAGGCTCCGATGTCTGCCGGGGTGTCTGGGTAGCACCTGACAGGACAGTGCCCCGATCTTGGGGATTTGGACAGCACCCAACACAGCAGGGCTCCGATCTTGGCCAGGGTCTATGCCTGGCAGGATGGGGTCTGGATCTTAGTCAGGGAGGTCTGGGCAACACCCAAAACGATGGGGCCCCAATCTCAGTCAGGGGGGGTCTGAGCAGTATCTGGCATGAGAGGGCTACAATCTTGATGGGAGGTTTGGGCAGCCCCTGAAGCTATGGGCCCCCCAATCCCATTTGAGGGTCAGTAGGCCAGCCCACAGAAAAGCCCTGGCTAGCCCTCCTGCAGGTCAAAGGGCTGGGATGATCCGGCCTCAGGCTTTGCCTAGCCCTGAGGGGCCTGCAGCTGAACATGGGATTCCTGATTGATGCTGCCCTGACTTTGGTGACTCCTCTGGGCCTGGGAGCGATGGCGGCAGTGTTGGGGGCCAGTGTAGGGTGGTTGAGGGGAGTCTCACATAACCTGTAAAACACCCTCCCCCCAGATCCTCCCTGTTGGAGCTTGAAAAGGGCATCCAGGGACTTGTAGTCATGTCCACCGACTTGGAGGAGATCTTCAACTGCATCTTCGACGCCCGCGTGCCCCCTATGTGGGAGAGGGTAAGGGTTCACCTGCTGCCCGTGCTGAGGTTGGGCTCCCTTTAGATGCCCCATGGGCACGATTTCATGGGGACCTAAGCATAGTGGGAGCTGCCCTCCTATACACTCCCCATGGGGCAGGCTAGGGGTCTGGCCTTGGGGCCACCAGTGGGTTGATTGTAAAGGTCTCTTCATCCCCCCTCCCCCTATCAAATCTCCAATCATAGCACATGTTGTCATGGGTAGGGCTTACTTAGTGAGAGGGCCTTGGAGCATCACCCCCTTTATCATCCAGTTCCCAATCAGCCTTGTGGCCAGAGCAGGGGCGCTGAGCCAGGGAATGGGGGCTTATGGACCATTCTACCTCTACTCTTCCCTATCTGTATGAAAGACTGGGGCCAGCAATCTTGAACCATGCTATGTATCTGCCCTGCCCCTGCACTCTTCCCTCCCTCACAGGCATGCCTCTTGCTCTTGTGTTCTCCTCTTCCCACAGGCCTGCCCCCAACCTATGTGTTCTGTCCCACAACCCATAACCTCTACCCTTCCCATAGGCCTGCACCTGCCCCTCTCCATCCCTCTGTTCTCTGCAGCCCACGGGCTTGGCCTTGTGCTCTGCCCTCTAGCACCTGCACTCTGCCTTTGCAGGCCTGCCCCACTGCCCATGTGCTCTGTCCACAGCCTGTGTGCTCTGCCCCACAAGACTAACCCCTTACCCCTGTGCTGTCACTCTGCTTTCTGACCCCTGTGCTCTGCTCCTGCAGGCCTACCCCTCGCAGAAGCCACTGGCCGCCTGGACTCGGGACTTGGGCCAGCGTGTGGAGCAGTTTGCCCGCTGGGCTGAAACGGCTCATCCCCCTGTCCTCTTCTGGCTCTCAGGCTTCACTTTCCCCACCGGGTTCCTGACAGCCGTGCTGCAGGCGGCTTCCCGCCAGAACAATGTGAGTACCCCAGGGGCAGGGTGCTGGACACCTGGATTCTCTCCTGGCTCTGGGAGGGGTATGGGAGCTGGTGGGTTAGAGCATAGAGGGTAAATGAAAAGGCCATGGAGCCAGAGCTCCTTCTCCCCTAGAATGGGGGAGGACTCCTAGGTTGGGGGGCTTGGTTCCCTCCCATCCCACTCACTGCCCCCCTTTCCAGATCTCTGTGGACACCTTGTCATGGGAGTTCATCGTCTCCACGGTGGATGACAACAACCTGGTGTATCCGCCCAAGGTAAGTGTGTGTGTAGGCTGCTGCCAGTAGAGTCACCCCTTCCCCTGCCCCCCAGAGTATGCTCAGGTGATGCTCCCTTCCCCCCAGGATGGTGGGGGGATGGATATGAACTCAGCTGCTACTTCCTGCTCCCCAGGATGGCATGGGAGCAGAGAGAGGCCTGTACCTGGGTGACACTCCCTGCCCCACAGGACAGTGAGTGTATGGAGAGGGGGGCTGTACATCGGTGTCACTCTCTGCCCTCCAGGATGGTGTGTGGATCCGAGGCCTGTACCTGGAGGGTGCTGGCTGGGACAAGAAGAACTCCTGCCTAGTGGAGGCTGAGCCCATGCAGCTGGTCTGTCCCATGCCCACTGTGCACTTCAAGCCAGCCGAGAGCAGGAAGAAGAGCAGCAAAGGTACCCAGGGTGGGGGTGCCATGCTGACTGGCGTGGCTGGGGGTAAACTGCACTGAGGGGGGCAGAGTACCAGGCTGTGGGGGTGCTGCCCTGATGGAGTCTCTGGGCTCCATTCAACAGGCTGGAGCACCACCTCTCCCCCCCCCCCCCCCCCCCGGGGTACCCAGCCCTGCCCCAATCCTTTCTCTCTGTCCAGGGACCTACGCCTGCCCCTGCTATTACTACCCGAACCGAACCGGTGCCTCTGGCCGCCCTTCCTTCATCATCGGTGTGGACCTGAAAGCTGGCGCCATGGGCCCTGACCACTGGATCAAACGCGGCACCGCCCTGCTCATGAGCTTGGACAGCTGAAACCCCACCCAATAAACCCTCCTATAATCCTTTCTCTCTGTCCAGGGACCTACGCCTGCCCCTGCTATTACTACCCGAACCGAACCGGTGCCTCTGGCCGCCCTTCCTTCATCATCGGTGTGGACCTGAAAGCTGGCGCCATGGGCCCTGACCACTGGATCAAACGCGGCACCGCCCTGCTCATGAGCTTGGACAGCTGAAACCCCACCCAATAAACCCTCCTATTTGCAGAGTGCTGCCCATGAGAGATGTGCTAAGTAGGGGGAGTCTGAGGGGTCTGAGCTGTGTGGGGAGTCCATTAGGTTGCTCTGGGGTATAGTTATGGGGTGGGAAGGGCCCATGGTCTAATCCAGCAATTACAGTTCATCTTCTGACTCTGTGCCTCCGTTTCCCCTGTGTGAATCAGAACTAGTGATTCAAGCAGGGGAGGTTCAGACCCACCTGGGGAAACTGAGAGGGGGCTGAGGGAGCCCTGGGCAGAGCTGGAGGGATAGATGCTCCATGGGTCCTTGGGAGCAATAGCCCCCTATTGGGGGTAGGGTGTCTGTATGTGTTGGTGATACAGAGCCTGGCCTCGCTGCTTGTGCGCGGCGTGTGCGCAAACACACTTGGGGGGGAGGGAGCAGGTCCCATGGGTCTAATCAGCAGGAGGCGTTGTGGGATGCACACACATGTGGGGGCAGAGGGACTGGGATCCTCCTACACACATGCACTGGAGCAGAGGTTGTGACCCACCCCCACATGCATGGGGGGCATACAGGTGCTGGGACCCCACACCCATACTGGTGGGAGAGGTTCCATGACACCGCTCACACCCATGCGGGGATGTAGAGATTCTGTGATGTCCCTATACCCGGGAGGGGTAAAGGTGCTGGAACCCCCCCATATACAGGTGGGAGCAGACGCTGGGACCTCCCAGCCAGGGTGATGTGGGTGAGGGTGGGGCTGGGACTCAGTCTGATCTGATTCTGAAGTATGAACCAGCCCGAGCCGCAGAGCCAGGGTCTGAACTGCACCATGGCTCAGTCCCGCCCATCGCCTGGGGATGGAGATACTGGCTGCTGGGCTGTCGGTCACTGGGGGGTGCAGAAGAGAATGGGGGTAGCACCCCCTCCAGCCCTGCTGCCAGTGGGGGGACCTCATAGACTCATAGACTTTAAGATCAGAAGGGACCATTATGATCATCTAGTCTGACCCCCTGCACAATGCAGGCCACAGAATCTCATCCACCCGCTCCTGGAATAATCCTCTCACCTATATCTCAGGGTATGTCTACACTACCCCGCTAGTTCGAACTAGCGGGGTAGTGTAGACATACCCTGGGATATAGAGCTAGAGGTATGCTAGTTGTAATGATAATAAAATGTAAACTCTGAACCAATCATTCAGTAAATGCTTTTCTTTTGTAGCATTAAAATACAATTTAAGAAACCTACTCTATTTATTGATTGGTGTGTAGAACGGTAGTAAAATCTTAAAACTCTAGAAACTTGCTTTGAGAATAATATGTAACTGTCTTGAGCTAGATGTCTTTGGTTCCTTCTGAACAATGCCCTGCTTTTGAAAAGAATCACATGTAATTTGATACAATTGTCAGGTGTGATCAAAAGAGACTGAGAACTTCATTTACATACCATAGGAACTGAAGCCCCTAGCCACTCTACAAAGAGTTGTTGAGAACAGAGTGCAGAGAAGTATTTTGTGTTTTCATTGAGCATATATAGACAGTGTATCAAAAAAAGGGCTTCAGATTTCAGCAAACCAGTTCCCAAACACCAATAAGCACCCATATTAATGTAAAAAAGTTTTTAAGATGGTAACAGAATTAATGTACCCAGTTGTTTCACTGTTATTTTAGTAACTATAAGATTCCCAACCAAAAAGATGGTTTGTATTTAAGTACAGTTTATGTTTGTATAGATTCCTAGAAAAATACCATGTACCTGCTAATGTGCTTTCAGCAGACAGGCCAACCAAATGAATTGATAAGAACATTGAAAATTAGTATGCATAAACATGTTGAGATAGTTTTCTTATAATGTATAATGCTCTTGGACTATTAAATTAAACAATTCTAGTGTTTAAAAAAAGTTTTATTCTGATAATTTTTCAGTCTGCAGCCTGTCATCCAATAAAGCAGCACATTTAAGTCTTTCTATCAAACAACTATAACTACTCTGTCAAGTTTGACTTTTTAAACCTGTCAAGTAGTCATTTCTTTTCCTTCTCAAAATGTCAAACTTTGAAGCTTTCTAACATGTTTTTCTAATAGAAGTTTCAACAAAATACACAGTCCTGGTATTTATCCCTCTAATACAGGGACATAATACAGTTTATATTCCTCTAATACAGTTTATATCCATATCTTAGGCTATGTCTACACCGGTTGTTTCTTGTGCAAGAACACATCCACTCTTCAATGTGCGAGCTGTGCTTTTGCACAAGAGCATCTATGGCAGTGTGGACACTCTCTTGCCCAAGAAAGTGCCGATGGCCATTTTAGCCATAGGGCTTTCTTGCGCAAGAAATTCATGTTGCCTATCTACACTGGCCTCTTGTGCAAGAATAGTTGCTCAAAAGGGCTTATTCCTGAGTGGGAGCATCGTAGTTCTTGCGGAAGAAGCCCTGATTTCATACATGAGAACGTTAGTGTACTTGCGCAAGAACACACGGTCAGTGTAGATAGGCAGCAGATTTTTGCGCAAGAGCAGCTGCTTTGGTGCAAGATCGTGCCAGTGTAGACACAGCCAAGGGGAGGGAGGAAGGCAGGGGCAGGGAATCAGCACTGGCTCAGCATGTCTACATGGTTTGGGGGAAGGTGCAGGGAAATTGAGCTCAGCTGGG